TGAGTTTGGGAAAGTGTCCAAGGGAGACAAGCGCAAAGGTTGAGGAATCTTAGGGGCCGAGCTCGAAACAGTCGAGAGGCGCCTAGGCTGGGGTGAGTTCGATTGTGGGTCGGCGTCGCCCTTCAGACCCGAGGATCGTGGTCCAAGGCTAAGACCCCATGAGGCGCGGCGATCATTTCTGGCTTTGGCTTGAGGCGGAGGCGGCGATGAGGAGGAGGAGGACTCTTCGTTCTGCAAAAACAATCGGGCATTAGAAACAAGGCACCTCAAGAAAAGTCATTGTGGAGATTAAAAGCCGTCAAGGGAAATACATGATCGTGTAGAAGAAGTCGTGTCATTCTTTATCCATACACCGTGCCGTCATCCGAGCCAGCCGCGCAGAAAGTAACATAGACCGGCCGGTGGCTCATGGCTCAGGGTCCAGGGCTCGTGGCCCATGTTGTCCGAGTCAAGTCATGGTCACGGCCCTGGCCTGTATGGGGGTGCTAAATTAAGAATCGTCCGACCATCAACGTAGGAAATAAAGATGATGAGAGAAGAGGCATGTCCTGTGCAGTAACCCTGGTAAAGAGGAATGATTAAGGAAATACCTTGTCGCCGCCGCGAAGCTTGTTCTTGCCCTTGCTCAGCAGTCCCTTGCCCGCCTTGGCCGCCCCGAGCAGAAGCTCCTTGCCCTTCGCCCCAACTTGACCACTGGAGTGCTTGAAATCGCTGGAAGGAGAATGTGAAGCTCCTGTCCCCATGTTGCTCGTGGAGGGCCGGCCAGGTGCACCTGGAGTCGCGTTCGGCGAGCTGGCATTCAGATACTGCTGATAGTAAGGCTGCTGCGACGCCGATGGTGCGTTAGTCGGCGATCTCTGTGCCGATGCACTGCCTGGAGGTGCCGCAGTGATGGACGTGTGGTACGAGGAGGAGGCAGCACCGTGCTCCGCATGCTGTGACTGCAGACTGACAATCCAATTGTTGAGACCCGAGTCCGTCGAAGCAAACTGCGCTCGCGTCTCATTGTACTTGGCGATTCTGTCTGCGGGGCTTGGCAAGTCAAGAATCTCCCTAAACGATAATAACTTTTGCGCCGACTGTGTCGACTGCGCTGGAACGTGATGCTGCGTCGGTGAACCTTCTGCCTCGGGGCCTACTGCAAGGGTGCGCTCTGCTAACGCGGGATGACCTCCGGGGGAAGGGAGCGGAGAGGTCTGGTCCGACGTGGAGACCTGTAGTCGCTTCTCGTCTGCCAGCGATAGGCGTCTCGTCTTGGGTTCTGGTTCTCCCTTGAAGGGCGGCGGCTTGTCGGACGCTGCTGAAATTGGAGAAGGTGGCTCAGGGCCGGCCGAATCCTGCTTTTCCAGGGGAAGAGTGCTGACTTGAGAGACTTGATGGGATACTAGAGCCGTATTGTCCAAGATACCAACCTGTGACTTGTCGGCCAGCCTCGAAGGAAGCTCGTCCGCCGCACTGGATGGTGGCTTGTCGTCATCATTTGTTGGCTCCTCGGGATTCCCAATGGAAGGCGCGAGAAGCTGAGAATGTTGAGAAGACGGGCCGCTGCTGACATCGACGGCGAACTGCGGGGCCGAGGCAACAGCGCTGCCTTGCTCCGCAGACTGCGGTTGATCCTCGTTGCCAGCCTCCCAGGAGAATCGACGTGGGAGCAGATTGACTTCAGGAACCGCAGCAGGGACATGGACGGGCTCTCGTCGAGGACTGCGGGGGCTCAAAGGCGGAACTTCAGACACATCGCGCGGTGATGAGAGCATGGTCCCATCTGTTGCTGGAATCGCAGGAGCAGGAGCAGGATCAGCATCGTCCTGTTTGCTGTGAGGTGGTCTGTCCTCGGGCCCAGACCAGTAATCGTCATAAACGCCATGAAGATAGGTACTTTCCCGACCAGCCTGGCTGGGCAACACTGAGAGGCCTCCTTTGCTGTCTCCTGTTGCATCGTGATCATGCGTGGGACGGACTGGGCTTAAAGTTCGGATGATCTCCTCCCTCAATTTATCGCTCTCCTTGATTGGCGAGGGAGAGTTGATCGTGCTCAGGGTGGACTGTCGCTCAGGAGCGGCAAACTTCTCGGGTGGGTCATCGACAGGTCGAGTTTGCAGAGCGGCCAGCGTAGGTGACCATCCCTCAGGCGCGGGGGAGAGAGAGAGAGATGCAATGGGGCTAGCAGTGCGCTGTACGTGATCGTCCGAGGCTGTCACCGACCCAGGCCCTGAAGTGGATCGAAGCCCCTTCAAGGGGACAGGCTCGAAGGCCGCAGGGGAGCCGCCCCCGTCGTCGGAAACTGCTGGCATGTTTGATCGTTCAGTCGGCGCACTTTCGATGGGATTCACTGCGGGCTCAGTTTCCGCCGATGGGGTCGCAGTCTCGGTGACCCAGCCACCAGGAAATGATGGGCGTTTTTGTTGAGCTCGCTCAGGGCGGGAAGGCTCGCGACTTTCGATTTCACCAGTCGGGGATTCTGTCACATTCGAAGTCGGCGCCGCCTCGGCTGTGACTCCACCTGGCTTGGGCGAAGTATCCTGAGTTGGCTGAGTTGGCGATTTGGTCTGATCAGTGCTCAGGATCGTGGTCGTATCAGTCCTCGGTGGTGTGGTCGACCGATCCATTGCGGGCAAGGTTTGTGAGGCTAAAGGGAGTTGAGGGGAAGGCTCGCTTTCCTCTGGCAGCGTAGGCACTGGGGGCGCATTCGAGGTCAGAGGTGGTTTCGCGAAGAAATCGTCGCCGAACATGGACATGCGCGCCAGATCTGGAAGCTGAGGGCTCGTGGAAAATCGTCGAGGCTCTTCCTGGGCCCTTGCAGCGTTCCTGCTTGCCTGCTCGACGGTTGAAGTCGGCGAAGAGGCCTGGTATTGGCGGGAGGGAAGAATGGCTTGCGGCTCAGCGATGACTGCGGTACTGAATCGCTCGGTAGGCTGAGGCTGCTCAACAGGAGCAGGTGCTGATCCCAGCACTGATGCCTGTTGCGTCTGTCCTTGGTCGAGCTTTGAGGGGGAAGGTGTCCGATCGAATCCGTCGTCGCTCCTGCCACCCTGAACAGTATCCTGAGATGTTCCGGCGGGGGAGGTGCTGCTGCCTAGACTGGTGTGGGCCGGAGTTGTGCCTTCATTATGAGCAATCGAGCGTCCAGGCTGAGAAGCGACAGACTCCTCCACATCCTTGCCAGCAGCATGGGATGACTGCGGATTGGCTGCAATCGTATCCTCTTCTGAACGGCGAAAGACACTCGAGGGTAGGATCGTCTGCTGCTGGGCTGCTTGGGGCTCGCCCTGACTGATACTGCTCTTACGCGGAGGAAACCCCGAGGGCTCTGGAACAGTGACGGGCGCAGTGATAGCCCTAGAGCCGGCGGACTGAGGCGAGACGACCGGCCCTGTGCCCTGACTATAAACTGACGAAGAAGGCTCGGGGCCCGCTGGGGACTTGATTTCAGGTGCTGCTGTCGTTTCGCGAGGCTGCTGCTGTTCCGCTTGTGACTGCGACAACTGCGATGACACCTGAACCGGCTGCGTCTGAATGTGCAGGCTAGGCTGAGGACCAGATGCATATCGATGGCCTACTTGAGGCATCGGCGGAGGCTGATTCCATGTTTGGCTGGACAAGCTGGTCTGACGTGAACCGATGGGTCGCAAGGGCGGCACAGGCACAGGCTCGGGTTGCTCGTCAAAATCGTCAGCTCCCCAGTCGTCACCGTCATAGTTCTGCGTCTTTGCCTCCACCCATTTCCTCGTCTTGGTTCGGTTGACGTTGGCGCGATACGGGGCGCTCGTTGGCGTTTCGGGGCTCCTGAGAAGAGGGTGTTAGAAGGGCTCCGATTATGACTGGAGAATTGGTGCGACCAAGGGATCGGAGGGCAAGGGTTCGGAGGGCGATGGCGCGGCGTGGAGCAAGGCTGAAGAGAACTCACATGGGGCTATTGGCCCTGTGATAGGGGTTTTGGTATGAGCCGTCCATCCCGTCGGCGTTTGGTGAACTCGAAATGCTATCTCCTCATGCTTTTCGACGAGCGCGGGAAGCAATTGGGTAGTGTCGTAAGACGACCGCGACAACGAGAGGGGGGGGGCCTCCTCTCGAGTTTTGAGAAACTCGTTTGTCCTCGGTGCCGACGATGTAGCGATAATAATGATAATACGTTTGCGGTGCAAGTTGCGCGACGAGCCTGACGGCAGGCTTCCCAACGAATGGCAGAGGTATAGGTTGGAGAAGAAGAAATGGGCTTCGACACGAGGATCTCTGGGTTGGGTTACGTACGACCGGCGTCACGTTGGCCGTGGTTCGTCACCCTGCCACCCTAGTACGGACGGCACAGCTGGGATTCGCAAGACTCGGCAGCACGAGGGGAGCTGCTAGGCACGCTACAACGGGGCTTCACAGATGAGCTGGGGGCTGTTGGTGCTATTATTATTATGATTACGGCGGGCGGGGCGCGAGACAGTAGGTGCTGTTGGAGATCCTCAAGTCACACTACTGCGCGAATGTGCAGCAGAGGAACCTCCGAGTACCTAAGGTGGGCACCGAGGTAGGTTCAGCATCCCCGTCCCATTGCCTGCCAACAGGCAGAGGAGGATCAGATCGGCATGGGGACGCCTGCAATCAAACCCAGAGCAACAAAGGTAGGGGGGCGAAGCTTTGGCGAGTTGTCAGCTCCCTCCTAGACAGTTGGCGTGGCGCAGTCTAGGTCCATCCTTCACGAGGCATGTGGGAGCCAGCAATACATGTCAGCAAAGCTCGCGTTTGCTGAAGGGCGAAAGTAAGGGAATGCATGCAGCATTACCTGGATAGCCGGCAAGCTATCAGTACCTTTACAATGAGATGATGGGAAACTTGTCTGCTCAAGCCACAGCGTCTGTGCCATGGAGGTACATGTACCGAATGTGGCTCAACATCAGTCGCGCGAGGTGGCTTAGGTGGCTTAGGTAATGGTGGGACGGGCCACTCATGTCGCCCCGCTAGAGGAAACAAGGAGTTACGGGGCTCTTGGAAAGCCCGCCAGCAGAAACACCACGTTTGCAAAGGAGCCAAAAGGCCAACCAGAAGCCAGTTCCTGTCGCCAGCCTGCATCTTGGGCTACCCTGACCTTACCACTACTGCGCTTCTTCTACCCTTTGAAACTGACGCGGCCGACACCGAACTTGAGAACACGAACTTCGCCAGGCATATTCGATTCACCTCACGATCTTTGCTTTGCGCCTTTTGACACCTATCGCCGATTTTAAACTTTGCCGCCGCTCCATCCTGCGTTGCCAGGCCACGTCGCCGTACTTTTCGATATACCCCTTACACTCCACGTATCCAGTCGATTACTTGGGCACCTCGTACTCGCGCCTACATTTTTAATACACTTTTCGCCATTGATAGCAAGAGGCGCCAACGGGACAAGACTCGAAAAGCCAACCCATCAAACACCATCGTATTAAGCAATTCGCACCGTTCAAGCCAAACACCTGCCTACGCTCGCAGTCGATTCGCCACCATGGCCGTCGCATCAATCCAGGACCGCACCTCGGAGTTCAAATCGGTCCTCGCCCAGGCGCAGCGTCGCCAGGCGTCCAGTAAAGTCGGCGCGCAGCGCAGGTCTCTTCTGACGGACCAGCAGAAGGCCGCCGCCAACGGCGATGGACGACCCAGGAGATCGGACTTTGCCCGCCAAGCGGCGCAAATCGGCAGGAGCATCACAGGCACCATGGGAAAACTGGAAAAGTTGGCGACACGTAAGTGACGGGCTGCTATCGGTGGACTGGCCAGGTCGCAGGCATCTTTGCGACCGTGGGATCCGAGCTGACATTTTGTGCCGCGCAGTTGCCCGCCGACGAACCCTCTTCGACGACAGGCCTGTCGAAATCAACGAGTTGACGTTCATCATCAAGCAGGACTTGTCCTCCATCAACCAGCAGATCTCGCAGCTCCAAGCGCTGACAAGGACCCAACACCCAAAGGCCGACCAGGAGGGCGAGCACAACAAGAACGTCGTGTTCCTTCTGCAGGGCAAGCTCACGGATGTGTCGGCCAACTTCAAAGACGTGCTGGAGGAGCGTACGAAGAACATACAGGCGTCGCGGTCGAGGACAGACAACTTCATCTCGTCTGTTGGGCAGCACACGCAGCCACCTATTCAGCAATCGGCATCGCCACTCTATGGCACGCCAAACAGAGGAACGCCGTCTCCGGGAGCTGACCTCCTGTCGCTGAACCCCGCGAGTGACCAGCAGCTGCTCATGATGGAGGAGGCGCAACCGCAGAACAGCTACATCAATCAGAGAGGCGAGGCCATCGAGGCTATTGAGAAGACCATCGGCGAGCTGGGCAGCATTTTTGGACAGCTGGCGACGATGGTATCGGAACAGAGCGAGATGATCCAGAGAATTGACGCCAACACGGAAGACGTCATAGACAATGTCGAGGGCGCGCAAAAAGGTATGACGTCTAGGCTTCCGAACTTGCCCGGAGCGCTTTACGGAATGCAGGCTAATCCGAGTATAGAGCTGCTCAAGTATTGGGGACGAGTATCGAGCAATCGCTGGCTCGTCGCAAGTAAGTCGTCCTTAACCCCTCCAATGGATAATCTTGTGACCATGTGCTGATCGAGCTGGCAATAGAAATGTTCGGCGTGCTCATGATTTTCTTCCTGTAAGTTGGCATGCGGTTCTCGCTTTCCCACATGGTGTCGTGCATCCATGGCTGACTGAGTGACAGACTCTGGGTTCTCATTGCAGGTTAAGAGCGCGCTGGGCCGCGCGTGGAGTTGAGTTCCTTTTGTACTACCAGCATTGTACTGCCGCACCTTTGGAGCGCCATTTTTGGTTAGAGGCTGTTCGTTATAGATATCATAATCAAGCAAGGCTCATGTTCAGGATGCCTACTTTTCTCCCAGCCGGAAGAGCCATGCGATTTGTCCTCCATGTACACAGGGTCAGGCCTCCACAGCCCCGCGGCTCCGGAAGAATAGCGGGCGGGACCTTAGAAACGAGGAGGAAGCAACCCAATGCTCACACTCTCACCATACTTAATTAGTCAAGACACTCCGGAAAAGGCATGACTCAAGGAGCGGGGGACGGCGCAAAGGCCGGCTCCTTGCTCCCCTTCGCCCAGAGTGCATCAGAGGAACATATCACGGAAGAAACCTCGCAGGCCAAGATCCCGACACCGAGCATATTCGTTCGCTCATCTAGTCACGTCCGTTAAGGGGCCCCACGTTGGGCAGTTCAGCGTGTCACAAGCCTCTCCGGGTTACCCAACGTGACCCCCAACTAGGCGACATGGCCGCCGCTACTAAGCTGCACGGGGGCGCACCAAGCGCCAAAAACTCGGCCAAGCTCAGAGCCCACCGCCAGGGCGAATGGAGGGGGCGCAAGCATCAACCCGCGAGAAAAATAAAACAACGTCGGCGGAACTGACCCCGAGAGGTGGCCCGTAGTGGAGCGAATTCTCCATGAATGGGGTCCCGCCTCTCCCACCAATGCGTACCGATGTAGACTCGATTGCCAGGGGGAGGGGCCAGGGGCAATGTGATGCGCGCTGCGACGGCCATCGTCATTGCAAAGGGGGCGAAGGAGAGGCGGGCGGGGGCCCAGAGGGCCTCCCCTCAACTGGAGATTGAGAACTGGGCGTTTCGCACCCGGCGTCGGGTTGATGAGGACCGCGGCTGTTTGTGGTGGGATTGATAACCCAGAGCATGCCCGCGGTCCTTTGCCTGGCTCGAGTCGCGTTTCTCTTCTTCGTTTATAATACCCAAATCCCATCACGACCCCTCTGACCCCGCTGCGAACTACCCCGCCCCCGCCAAAACAACACATTTACCCATATCTACCTAGCAAACGACATCATGGCCGACCAGACTTTCAAGCTCAACACAGGCGCCAGCATTCCCGCCATTGGCCTCGGTATGTTGATCGCCTCATGAATCCCACTGGAGTGTTTCCATGCTTACAGGGAAATCCAGGCACCTGGCAGGGTGAGGCCGGCAAGGTCAAGGCGGCCGTCTCCTTTGCTGTCCAGAACGGCTACAAGCTCGTTGACTGCGCTTACTGCTACGCCAACGAGGACGAGGTTGGCGAGGGCCTCAAGGACGCCTTCGCCGCCGGCGTCAAGCGTGAGGACATTTTCGTCACCTCCAAGCTTTGGGGAACCTACCAGACCAGCGATGCCCGCGTTGAGGAGGCTCTCGACAAGAGCTTGAAGAGCCTTGGCCTCGAGTACCTCGACCTCTACCTCATTGTGAGTGCTCCCGTTGATGAGGGGCCTCCGGCCTAACGTCAATTGGCGCTGTTTTCACGCAGCGAACGTTCGATTGACAGTGCCCCAGCACTGGCCCGTGGCCATGAACCCCGAGGGCAACCACGACAGGTTCCCCACCCTCCCTGACGGCTCGCGCGACCTCATTCGCGACCACAAGCACACCGACACGTGGAAGTCGATGGAGAAGCTCCTCGACACTGGCAAGGTCAAGGCCATTGGTGTCTGCAATGTGAGTCATCCACCGGCCTCCCCAATCCTGGAACCCCCGGATGAGCTGACAGCCCCCTGTGTAGTACAGCAAGCGCTACCTCGAGGAGCTCCTCCCCGTGGCCAAGGTCGTCCCCGCCGTCAACCAGATCGAGAACCACCCCAGCCTGCCCCAGGACGAGATCGTCAGCCTCTGCAAGGAGAAGGGCATCCATATCATGTCTTACAGCCCCTTCGGCAGCACAGGCGGCCCCCTCATGAGCGCCCCCGTCATCGTCAAGATTGCTGAGAAGCACGGCGTCTCCCCCGGCACCGTCCTGCTGAGCTACAACAGTGAGTTTTTTTCTTTTTTTCTTCTTCTTTTTACTTTGCCTCTTGCGCACTCCTTCCAGTCGGGCGCATAAGATCCCCATGCTAACCGCACCCCGCCAGCCTCCCGCGGCAGCACCGTCCTCCCCAAGTCGACCTCGACCGACCGCATCAAGGCCAACCTCCAGACCATCAAGCTCGACGACGAGGACCTCAAGTCCCTCAACGACTACTCCGCCGACCTCGCCGCCAAGAACGAGTTCAAGCGCTACGTCTACCCTCCCTTCGGCATCGACTTTGGCTTCCCCGACAAGTCGTAGAGACTCTTTTCTTCTTTCGTTTTGCTGGGAATGTTGGCATGACGTGTGGAGAAAAATGTAAGATTCCCAAAGTCAAAAGCATAGAGCGACAGATAGAAATGATTGCATTGTACACAAACAAGCAACGACCCACAGCGCCTGCGTGATTATCCTAATGCCATGTATTTCGTGCTTGCGTTCGGCGCGCCAGACGTATTTAATTTTCTGTTCTTGTACACCAAAGTTCTCATGACGCCCGCTCATCATGTCTCCTCTTTGACTGACCATGTTCCCATTACACCTCCTCGTCGCATGTTTTATGCTGTCAAATCGACCATGACCTTGAGCACAAGATTGCCTTCGTCGTCCTTGACGCGAGCGGCCATGCCGAAGGCGTCGGCAATGTTGGCAAGACCCTGATACCTGTGTGTGACCAGTTTCTGAAGCGAGGGCAGGCCCACGGGGTTGCTCGCGATGAGGTCAATGGCCTTGGGGTAGCAGTTCGCGTAGCGGAAGACACCGACAAGGTCGACCTCGCGCAGAGCCGCTGCCGAGATTGGCAAGGTCTGAATGGGAGTGCCCATGCCGATGATCATGACCCTGCCGCCGGGTCTCGTGGCCTGTGTATTCGTAAGCAAAACGGAAATTCCGTAGAGAATAGGGCCGCACAACGCACGTAAATGGCCGTCTGCATGCAGGTTTCTACACCGGTGCACTCATATGTGGCAGTCACCTCTCCAACGGCCTTGCCCTGAACTTGTGCCTGCTTGACAAGGTCCGCAACCTCCTTGGCGTAGGCAAGTTTCTCCTCAATGGCTTGTGGCCTCTTGGGCGGGACGACGATGCCGGCGTCGGCGTAGCCGTTTGCTGTGGCAAAGTCTACACGATCGGACTGGATGTCGGCAATGACGACAGTCTGTCCTGCGGCTTTGCTGACAGCCGCAACGAGCAAGCCTACAGCACCAGCTCCCAACACAAGCACCGTGGAACCGGAAGGCAGGTTGGCGCGGTTGCGGGCATGCATCGCGACAGAGAGAGGTTCGACCAAGGCGCCAAGTTCGAGGGACACGGCATCGGGGAGCCTGTATGGTGGTAAGCTTGGGTCCAACGCTTTCCCTATCCAGGCGGCCACCTACTTGTGAACCCATTTCGCGGGGTGGTTCACCCTCTCCTGCAGCGTGCCTTGCGCATGAGGGTTGGCCTTTGCAGAGCTGCGGAACTTCATGCCTGGGCAGATATTGTAACGACCCTGAGCGCAGAGATCGCATGACCCACAAGGCAGGCCGACTTCAAGGGCTACGCGATCACCAGCAGCCAGGCTCGTAACAGCTGAGCCAACAGCAGTGACAGTGCCGGCGGACTCGTGGCCGAGGGTCAAGGGCTCGCAAACGATGATGTCGCCGTTACGGTAGTGAGAATAGTAGTGAAGGTCGGAGCCACAGAGCCCTGTGGCCTCGACGGCAATTTGGACTTCATCGGCAGAGGGGGCAGGGAGATCGCGGTCTTCCTGTAGGGAGTCAGAGAAGGATTGTTACTGCTTGTTGAGGCAGGGCGTGGAGCTCACAACTCTAAGATCCTTGGCGCCATGAAGCACAGATGCTTGCACTTTGGAATCAGCCATGGTTGGATATCAAGATGATGTACTGTTTGGGTGTGTTGTTCAAGGATCTGTGGCAGGTGGGTGTCGATTGTTGGCTAGAGATTGTGTTGCCAGGTGTGTCGTTGTGGAGGTCTTTGTTGCTCGAATTTCTGGGTATCTCACGATGTCGATCAAGCCTTCCAAAAGTTGGGAAAACGGAAAGAAGGCCGCGTTGATGGACCGGGTCATTCAAGTAGGCAGAAAATCAACTGGGGACAAATCGGCCGGCGAAGAAGTGACCGAGTGGATGGGGCGAGGGGCACCCGTCCATCGGTCATTTTGACCCCTCCTGGAGCTCCGAACGCTGACTTGAATGCCCAGCAGATGACGATGCCCCTCTAGAAACATGGCAAATCCGGGGACCAGTAACCGTGCGGAGACATTGTCGGCGGATTCTGCCCAGTTATCCGTCTTGGGAGGCTCCGTAGCCGGCGACCATGTTTGGAAAAAGGATAGGATCAGACGAAGGAGTGACAAGGCTAGGCCTGTGGGTTGGGGGGCGAACCAGGCAAATGGTGCAAAGGCGGGCGAGCCGCGCTTGAGGGGCAGTCGTCCCTGCAACGTCACTGGCCACCCCTTGCTCCTGCCCCTCCCCACACTCCACGGGGCCATATCGCTAGGGCCTCCACTGACCCCCACCGACCCCTCCATGCCCCGCCATCGCTATTGCTCCTGCCCTTCTGCCCCCCAAACGTGAGCTTGTCTTGAGGTTATGACTTTGATCACGATCCTCGACCACGCCCTGACTTGGCTTCCGAACTCCGTGCACTGCCAGCTACTACATTTTTTTTGCGTCTGCCGATACCTTTCTGTTTTCAGAGTCATTCTGGGGCCATTTGTCAGACACTTGAATTGTCTCCCACCCCTCTGCCTCTTGCTCTCTTCCATAGCTCGTCTAAGCCTGTCTCGCTCCAGAAGTCAATCATCATCATGGCCGCCAAAATGTTTTCCCTCGAGGGGCAAACCGCTCTTCTCACCGGCGGCACCCGTGCATTGGCCAATCCGTCGCCATTGGCCTTGCCGAAGCTGGAGCCAACGTCCTGCTCGTCCAGCGCGACACGGCCGTAATCACACCCGCGACGCCATTCGTGCCCTCGGCCGCACCGCAAGACTGCGGGGGGAAAATAGCGCGGCGCCAAAGGAGAGGCATGAGTGGGGGGGCCTCCCGAGTGGCACAGACCCCACCCCGGTCAATGGGGCGGGATCCAGGGCGGACCCACCCAAAGGTCCCGGAGGAAGTT